TCGTTAAAGAAATAATATGCGAGTTTTAGGAAAGACGTTTTGATTGGAAATCTATAACAAATTCATCTCAAGAGTTGCTGTCATCGTAGTAACAGCAAGTTAAACAGGAACGTGGTCGATATTCCTTTGGTTTGTTTTTTCCGTCGATCTTGTTTTCCGTGCTGAGCACCAATGCTACCGACGTGCCAGGAAGGCAGCTCCCACACCTGGACCCTACCTATCGACCCATCAACTCATGAACCGGGGACCAACGGCTTTACTTCCCATCCGAAGGAAGGCGTGATCAGAGATGTTATGCCTCAGAACATCCCGGCGGCGCCGACTGGGATTGAACCCAGGCCTGCTGGGGTGAGAGGTAATCACGCTTATCACTACACCACCGACGCCGTTCAGGAACGTGGTCGTAATTGTTTTTTAAATAAGGAGCTTGGCAGCCTTGTGATGACCGATTTTGCTTACTGAGCAGAAAATCATGGGTTCAATCCCAAGCTCCTTCACATTATAAAGTTTTACTTTAAATCGGATTTCATTCATAATATGATATAAAGCGTAAAGAAATTCGATTTAAGGGCCGGGTACGTAAAAGAAGTAATATTTGAGTTTTAGAAAAGATGTGTAGATTGGAAATCGAAATCAAATCCTTCTCAAGAGCAGTTGTTTTCGCCGTCCATGTGGTTACCCCAAGGATAGCAACAAGTTGAACGGAAACTTGATCGTGATTGTTTTGTGAAATAAGGAGCTCGGTGGCCTAGTGGCGACCGATATTGCTTACTGAGCAGACCTTGGATTTAATTCCACGTTTCTTCGCGCTATTGAATCGTTAGGACATCAATTCAGCATATTGTTTACCAAAACGAATCCTGTTGCAATCCCAACCTTTTTATCCAACATTCTAGTGATATCTCGTGGAAGTGCAGAGGTGTTCTCGGCTTTTATTAAAGGGAGTATTACCCATTATTTTCTTGACCAGCATTCGGAGGCAATAACAGAGTTTCATCCACGGGCGATGAATCATGCTCATGGTCATGCTAGCATTGAAGTGTTAGCTATTCACGCATAGATTCATTATACTGCATGAACTCAAAAACTTTGTTCTGAAAGTTTGGAAAAGCGTTTGGAGTGAAAACCCAAAACTTGATAACTTTAAAAAAAATATAACTCAAAAACGAAAAGTTAGAACTGACAAGATGAATTAACGACTTCGTTCGGATTCAGGTCGATGTTTTCAATTCTTGTTAGTCTAAACTTTGTTAACTTATTTGGAGTACTCTACTTTTGACGAATATGAGTAGATCCTTCTCAAATTTGGGTTACTTAGAAATAGTATGTGTACCGTTTCGACCCCTCCTTTCACGCAAAGATTAACATTTTGCCGGCGGTATTTTTCAGTGGAGTGAAAGTGTAAAAAACGTTCCGCTATGTTTCCCGAAATTCGACATTTGCTATAGGAGTGAACAGCTGCAATTCGTCAACGCGAATGGTTTTACCAATACCAAAACAAAGTTATCAAATACAGTTCTTAGGCCATACTTAAGAATACGTCTCAAAATTATGTTCCTAAAGTTCGGTCCATAGTTATAAAGCGCTAAAAGCGTGAAATCTTCTTAATTTTTAATAATAATGAAAAGTGTGATTTTGATATAAATATTAGGCTAGCATATTACAAAAAGGTAAGTCTATTCAATTCATGCAATTATCAAATTTTTTTATGCCTCCCGAAGCGTAGATTTTCGTTAATGCAATAATACGGCAAGATCATGACACCTAGAAATCGAAAAATAAGATAATTCCACTAAACTTTTTATTTGAAAAAGAGCAATAAATGTTCAATATTTGTCCCAAAAATAGTCAATTGATTTACGGGTTCGAATTTTGCAGCAGATGTGGTATTAGTTTTTCATAATTATTGTGTCTTATTGCTGAATCAACTAGTTATTTGCTTGATAGACCGAAGTGAGGGGCTAGGCTGACATTACATCCCGTAACCCTATTATGTTTTATTTGAACCACCTATCCTTTGGATTTACTTAGGGGAAATGACGGCTTCGGCATGACAGACTATTTTCGGCAACCCAAATTGAAACACTATTTTCACTGGATTTTCTTACGAAAACACTTCGCTGAATGCATGCAAACGATTCTTTATGCTTTCAGCTTCAATTTGACTATATTTTTACCACTGAGAAAAAGCAATCTAGCAGGGTTTTCTTGAAATGAAACACACGCATTACAAATTGTAGCTGATTTCGAGTTGCCGATAATAGAACAGCAGATTTACATGCAGTTCAAATGGAACGGTTGCCGAAGAAAAACTGGTTGCCGACAATACTCACTCTCACTAGAGAAGATTGGAGCTTTGTGAAAGCGTTTCAAAACAGTTTTTGACAATTCTTTCGACTGAAATTGTTAGAGCAGCTGGCAGCAAAAGATTGTAAACAAACCAATACTGCATATGTGTGCGTTCCATAGAGAAAAAGGCTATAGAAAGAAGGTCGCTGCTTAGGTTGCCGAGAATACGTAAATTCCCCTACTTGAAATACTATTACAAACAAAGACTTGAACCGATTGTTTCATGTGGGCTTCCACGGAACTTCTTAGAAACTTAAAACTGCTTAGAAGTTCACCGTGAACTTATTCGGAACTTTGATACAGCCATTTTCGCAGCCTTGTCTAGAGTTCCTAAGAAGTGACCATGGAACTCTTATCCAGCATGAATACTGCGTAGAAGCGCCTCTCGGAACTTATTTTGAACACCACATGGTGCTAAGAGTACGCATGAGTAATTTTTGGAGCCTGAAGTTGCTCGTGTGCTTCCTTTAGTTTCCAAAGCAGAAGAACAAGTTTTGTCGAAACTTTATTTGGGCAATATGGAACTTGAAAGTGGGTTTTATCGTGGAATGCCGAACTTTTGATAGCTTGGGAGATTCATTGAATTTACCCAGGATAATATGCATTACAAGTTGAAGTCATCCGAGCATATCTCGATACCTTAAATTGGTATGGATAAACCTGACATAAGAGGTAAAATACCAAAAAAATATTACCAAAAAAATGTTCCCACAATAACATTCCAATACGAAATTATGATAATGCAATACCAAAACAATACCACACAGGTATTCTTTTGGTATCCAAATATCAATGTTTGTTATTTACAGAGTATTTTGCATGTAATTTTTTCGGTCATGCTGATATATATTAGTTATTTTCTCCTACTCGGGCACTTATTATAATAGCTTAATTATTTATTAGTTCGTTATTCATAGAACAATTTTGATGTATTATTTTTGGTATTTTACCTATTAATCAAGCTTAGATTGCCAGTTATGCTGAAATTAAAACTGAATTTGGTATTCATTATGTCCTGCTCGAGATGCCTCCAAAAACAGTATATTTTTCAAGCAAAGGGAAAACTATTTTGAAAAATCATTTCCTAACCTCAAGAATTCGGTAAAATCTTGAAAGCACAAGATTTGTAGTTCAAAATATAAGCCCATAATTTTTTAGCCTATTGTTTGGATTGAATAATACTTATTAGATCCCGTAACCTTACTATTCCTCGTCGGAATTAATGCCTTCGCGTAAAATTCCCATTTTCTCACTCAGGAAGTGATTGTGATGTGATTTTCTCGCTCCACACCTCTACACACAGTCAGTTTCTATTATTATGCATAAAAGCCACCAGGGAAGGAAGGATATGGAAAATTGAAACTTTACTTCTAGCACCAGTTTGCAACTTACGACAGCAGGCCAAAGGCGTGAGCATAATGTCGGCAGTCAACTGTGCCGCCCCCTCCCGTACTCGGTCGGTCAGAGTTCGGAAAGTCAATTTAATTTCCTGGCGCTTTTGCACTTCCGACATTATGTGTGTGTGCAGTAGTGCTTGCTCGGTTGTACATTTCCAGGGAGATTGGGTATCCTGCCTCGAAGTTGAATTATGTGGCGTTGCTGGTAACGGGTGGTCACGGTCAAAAATTACCGCTTCCACCAGATTCTGAATAACCTCCTTATATAACTTGAATTCAAGCTCGTTCTGGACAGTTTTGGGTTGATATTCGGATGGCTTCAAGATGGCCAATTTTTTTCTCAGATGTACCTCACCAACCTGACTTTCACATAGGATCCAGTTAAAACAGAGTAGCACCTTAGTGAAAAGATAGAAATGGGAAAAATCGCTTCTATAAACACTGCTCCATGTACTACTCGGGATTGCTGGTTACCAAAAGACGCGGAAGCTGCTGGAAGTTCGCTTTCACATAAAATTCCTCATCCGTCACTGATCCATCCATGGTCCATTTTTGTCGCGAACACCCTTTATTGGTATGTGTGCGGCTACCAAGTTTCAGGTGTTCACGCTCGCTGGTACCAGCTCGGGTGAATGCGAGCGGTACCTACTATTCCAACCAGCGAAGCGCGAAAAGTTTTTCGATTTATGTTTCGATATTAATTTTTAATGAAAATTAGATGCAACGTGGTCGTGTTGCGGGGAGAGGAGATGCAGTTTCCTTTTCAATTCCCAACAGATAGCATACCGGATCGACCCCAGGATGCATGTGGCAATAAATCGTACGGGTAATGTTATTAGTGAACCGAAAGTTTACCGAATTAATTATAATCATTCGAACGTGAGGATATGCGGTATATATGATTGCACTCGACGCAGACAGTTCGAATATCGTAATTGATTTGACAGAATCAACAAGCATAGAATGCTGAGTGCTGATTTCGAAATGATTCGTAGAAACTCCGCAGAGAACTGCATCCCTGCAGGGTAAATTTTCACAGCAGCAGTAATTATCGCTTTGGTTGGTTCCTCCAGCGCGGTGAGAAAAATAATTAAAATAATTGCAAAGCTTTCTCTAGCTTTCGTCGCTCAATATTGGTGTTTGTACTTAAACACAGCAAAGACGACGACGAAGACGAAGTGCACGCTTGGGTGGTTTGAAACCACCGTCCTCGTTGTCCTCGTTTCAACTGATTAAGTCCCCTATTTTTCACAGGATATCCCGCTGCGTGTGGATCTCACCGGATACGCTGTTCACACTGTGCGAGGTTGTGCTCCGGAAGCTGCTGCTGCCGGTCGTTCCACGGCAAAAGTTCTGGTCCACCGTTATTGTGAGTATCAGTGGGTGTATAAATTCAGTCATTCATTAGTTTTGTACTGTGTCAGGGTTGTTAACGTTGATTCAATGTTAACGTCGTGTGTTGATGGATGTTTTTTTTTCAGCAGAAATGCCATAACACATTTCTTAATTTGCAGCTTCGCAATTTCTTTAAATTCGCGAAAAACATTGAAATCTTGATATTGTGTTTTATGTACATTAGGGTGGGTCAAGTATGTATGAAGGATCACGAACCTCTGTTCCCCACTGCTCTCCTGATGTGTATTGAGGTTCCTAACAAGGTTGTCAAATTTGAACAAATTTGGTTATGATCTGAATTTGCGGGAATTTTGTACTGGAAACGAAACAAACCTATTTATTGCCAAAAATTCGAATATTGCTCAAATTTCTCCAAATCTCTGAAAAAGATTGTCAAAGACTGCAAATCGATTACACTTCTGAGAAAGAAGATGTCAAAGACGCTATCCAGTACCGTACCGTCCAGCATGTACTAATTTTAGTACAGGAAGATATTCAACTCCATATCTTCCAGCTTGCATCTTAAATCAAATTTTGCATACATTCCGGCAGAAATGGGTCAAATGTGCTAAAATTATAATGTTAATTGTTTTAACGAAAAATTATATTCCAACTACAAAAATATGCTGAGTAGTAATACAATCCAAAATACCAGATCATATATAGGCATCTAGCCTGTTATAGAATAACAATGAATGCCATTTGAACAATGACAATGAAGTCTGCACATTGTAGACGAAATACGAAACATTGAAGACGAAATATGGAAACTACTAATCCTTCCCTTTTTCTTCATAATTAGTTAATTGATTTACAGAATCCACACAAATTCAAAGAGATCCTTATGAGGTGGAACAAATATTTGCTGGATATGAATGCTGATTAAAATTTTATTAAAGTAATTCATCCAGTGTATTCAGGAATGTTATAAGAAGACATTTCTATTAGCAGGCAGTAAAACGAACCGATCTGTTCAAGAGTGCGAAAACGAATGACATATATTTCTTATCTATCTACATACAGCCTACTGTGATAGAATGATAGGTGTAGCTTCAATCATGGGTTGCTTGTACTCCTTCAATTTCAACCATTAAACTGCATGGCTAATTGTTTCAAAGTTGTCTGGTTGATTGTTTTCTTCCGAAATTTCTTTTGAGAAGTCTTATATTCTCGATACAAATAATGCATTGCCCACTTAGAATCCGTTCGGATGAAATCACTCATATCTCGGGGATGGAATGACATACGAAAATGGTAAATGGAAAATGATAAAACAAAGATATTTTATTATAGTTTAAAAAAAATACCATTACAATTATGTCTCTTTATTTCTGACGTACGAACTTTCCTTGTGATACCCACCATCAAATGTTGCCCACCTGTAGTATCAACCTCTTTGGCAAGTTTGTCCCAAAATCTGGTCACCTGTGCAGTATCCCGAGCCGTTTTACCAGTCTTCTTGAGCTTCCGCTTTATAATTGCCCGATATAATTTGGCAGAATTGGGCGGATTTAGGTTCTTGTCCATGATATCCACCCCATAGTCACGGTACCACTGAACAACCTCCCGACTGTAGTCGACCTTTTGTCTTTCGACATTTTATCCTACTACTTGAAAAGTTTTCATTGCCCAAAATATTTTTTTTTCAAATCCGGGATCTTCCATTTTTTTTAAATCTGAACATTCTTGATCATAGGGTAGAGCGCTACTTCGTAGTAATCGCCCATTTCCGTTATATCGATCAGAAAAGATCAATAATATCAATGATTTCGTTAGTTCATTAGCTACAGCATAAATCCTATAGGAGCGCATTGTATGAATATTTACGCTCATTGTTCTCAAAACAAAAGGAGCGCTCCTAGCGAATCCCCCTTTTCTACGTTTATCCGTAGGACGAAGAAAATCTAATGGCGTTTCAATGCATTAGGACGGAATTGAAACTCGTAGAAACGAGATTTAAAGGGCGAACACGAAATTATTGCGACACATTCAACAGGGCATAACTTTTTACCATTGGGTAAAAATCAACCAAATTTTGCACACTTTCTCATTGATGTATATTGTGTACATGCTGTCAAACTCGAAGTTGTGTTTTTCGATTCAACGAAAATGGAGGTGAACCAACGCGAGTTGAGAGAACAAATTCTTTCCAAACACCTGGAATTTCCTGACCTGTCGCACCGGCAGTTGGGAAAAATGTTGAACATTCACCATTCAACCGTCTCCAGAGTGTTGAAGCCGTTCCAGGAGCGGTTGACGTTGGACCACGGCAAAGGAGCTGGAAGAAAACCGGGACCGGAGAACAAAAAGACGGAGGGAAAGGTGAAGCGGATGATTAAAGCAAATCCCAACGTCTCAAGCCGTGATTTGGCTAAAAAGATCGGCATGCCGCAGAGCTACGTCCAGAATGCAAAAAAGAGAGCTGGACTACATACATACAAGGTACAGAACTTCCCAAACCGCGATGAGCGGCAACAATCGACGGCTAAAACTCGGGCACGGAAGCTCTACGAGAAGATGCTGACAAAATATGGCTGCTGTGTGATAGACGACGAAACGTATATAAAAGCCGATTTTAAGCAAATTCCAGGGTTTGAGTTTTTCACCGGCAAGAGCAAGTTCGATGTGGACGACAAATTTAAGAAGAAGAAAATGTCGAAGTTCGCCTCCAAATATCTCATTTGGCAGGCCATCTGCTCTTGCGGACTGAGGAGTGAGCCTTTCGTGACAAAGGGCACAGTAAATGGCGAGATCTACAAATCTGAGTGCCTCGAGAAGCGCCTTTTGCCGTTCTTGCAGCAGCACGACGAAGCTCCGCTATTTTGGCCAGATTTCGCATCATGCCACTATTCTAAAAGTGTCCTGGAGTGGTATGAGGCCAATTCTGTCCATTTTGTTCCAAAGGACATGAATCCGCCAAACTGTCCGGAGCTGCGCCCGCTGGAGCAGTACTGGGCAATAATGAAGCGGGAACTTCGGAAGAGCAAGAAGACAGTCAAAGACGAGAAGGACATGTTAAGAAAATGGAAAAAAAAACTGAGAAACTGGTACCGGATGACACTGTAAAGACTTTGATGAAGGGCATCAAGCGAAAATGCGTTCAATTTTACACTCAAGGCTCCATCGATTAACTTTTCTTTTGATTTTTGAAGTAAATATATGTATAAAACTACCCTAAAATTTTGGTTTGATTCTAAACATTATAAGAAAATTGGCATGACATTTTCGGTGTCGCAATAATTTCGTGTTCGCCCTTTAGAATCAAGAAGCAGTGTTAGATTTTAAACAATATCTCCACAATTTGTGACTCTTTATCAAATCTAACGGTTCGTATGGAAAGGTGAATAAATTTAGAAGTCATCGGAAATTAGATCAAAAACCCTATTTCTTAGTTTTAGATTCTTTATTATTTCTCATTATTCTCATATTTGTTAGTCACAAATATTGAAACGTATATTGTTGGTCCTAGTCTAAAGACATGTCCACAGAATATTGAAAATTATTTAAGGCCCTATTCCTTAAAATATTTTGTTAGTCAGTATTGTTGAAAAAATGTCTTGGTTAAAGATGTCAAATATTTCTATTTGAGTTCAATATCTCACTTATAATTCAGCCAAATGACTCATATAGACCAATTGGGGGGAATTGGCAAGTGTCTACTGCTCATACAAATTTCAAATAAATTGTATGGACAATTGTCTACGTAGGGGTAGCGGAGGTGCCTAACACCTCTCAAAAATAGTCTAAGGCTGTTCCATTTGGTAGATATTCACTTAAAGTTGACGCTTCGAAAATAAATTATAATGTTCGAAAATCCATCTATTTATTTTGTCGTCAATCAGATGTAGACCATTTTTTACAAGTTACAAGTCATGTGTTAAAATTACGAACAGAATTAAAGTACTGCTTTAATCTGGTTTTTGTCATTATAAAATCAAAAGCTTCACTATGTTTATTGTAAGCAGTCATAATTTGATTTAGTGGACCAAATTTGGCATAATTTGTGCGATAGTGATTTGTAGTAAATATATTTCGAGTTCGCAGTTGCCGAGAAGGTATGTAAAAATTAAGCTTTGATAAAAGTTCTACTGAGTCAATTCGATGCGATACTATATCGTTCACAAACGAAACCATTGCAAATTCACGACGCGCTTTCAATGTTTGAATGTTGATGAGCATGCAGCGCGCTTCATAAGATGGAAGAGGAAATCTTGTCCAACCTAATTTACGAAGAGCAAATAGTAAGAATTGCTTTTGCACTGATTCTAATCGTTCCTCATGCGTGAATGAAAAAGGTGACCAAACTATGCTGCAATATTCAAGTATTGATCTTACATATGAAATGTACAGTGATTTTATTGTATTCGATTGTGATTGAAAATTGTAACTGAATCAGTGACAGTGATTGAAATTTGTAACTGAATCGTTTGATAAAGCCAAGCATATTATTTGCTTTGTTGATAATTGTATTATAATGATCAGTGAATGCTAGTTTTGAATCAATTATAACTCCTAAATCCCTAACTCGTTCACACTTTTCTACTGCCTGATTTCCTAATATAATTGTATTTTCTGGTTTGTTTCTTTTTCTACTAATAGCTATTGATTTACATTTTTGAACGTTTAGTTGCATGAGGCTTTTGTTACACCAAACATAGAATAAGTTTATTTCAATCTGGTATGTCTGTATACCTTATTTCTTATTTCTAGAAAGAGCTTCTTGTCATCCGCATGGATTAATACTTTAATGTTTTTAAGAATAAAGGAGATGTCGTTTACAAATAAAATAAACAAAAGAGGGCCTGGATGCGAGCCTTGGGGGACTCCAGAAGTAACAGTAATAGGGTTTGATTTTTCACCTTTAAATCTAATTTGTTGGCGATTAGTTAAATATGACTCAAGCCATTGAGAAGTCCAGGTTCAATTCCTATTTTTTGTAATTTGAAAAGAAGCATGCGTATATCAATACGATCAAACGCTTTGCTAAAATCGGTATAGAGTGCTTCTACATGGTTTCCATTATCCATTGCAACCAAAGAATAGTTGACGAATTCAAGTAAATTTGTATTAGTTGATCGTCCTTTGAAGAAACCATGTTGCATGTTAGTGATTCTGTTTTTGATCTGATTGAATAGTTTTTCATTGACGATCGCTTTGAAAAGCTTTGGGATACAGGAAATAATAGCAATTCCTCGGTAATTTTGTATGTCAGATTTTTTGCCACTTTTGAAAATAGGCACTAGAAAAGAGCTTTTCCATGTTTTTGGGAAGATTCTAGAATCTAGTGACATATTGAAAAGCCAGAATAATGGAGCTGCAAGTTCCAGTGCCAGGCTCTTCATAAATACTGGTGGAATTCCGTCTGGTCCAGAGCCTTTGGAAGCATCCAAATTGTTCAAAGTTGCCATAATATCCTGCACATTAACTTGATTAACTTGTATATCACTACTACTCTCTGTTATTGATCGGTTGATTTTCGAGAAGGTGTATGTCAAAATTGATTTCTTGTCAGTCTGAAATAAGTCTGCTGGAATAGCAGGGTTATTTAAACAATTTCCATCTGTCATATTTAAGTGGAACACAGCCTAACCCTAAGTAGGTAGTTTTAGAACAGGCCGAAGTAACAAAATTATTATAGAATAAAAACCCGTTTTTTTCATGATTTAAGATACGTTTGAAAATCCAGACTGAATCTCGATTACTTTTTTAAAGGGGCTCATCTGTTTTTGTAAAAGAAGATCCAACAAAGGGTAATGTTTCCCCAACAATATAGTTAGTTTGCGTGGGAGTGCTAAGAGTTGCGACAAATTGACGTTTGAATCAAAAGCAGATACGTCCGTTTGAAAAATTAATCGAGAAATAGAGGTTTTCACGTCTGGTTGTATTGGTAGGATGTATGCGAGCGTGTTAGTAAATCCGGAGTGATTTAAGATTTGGGCGTAATTGCTTTTGAAAACAAACACGTCAATTACTGATTTCTCTTGAATAAAAGCTCAATCTCACAAACAAACTATACCAAATGATAGAGGAATCATTCCTCTACCTCATAGTGTTATTACTTTTCGAGATTGAGCTTTTATTCGCGAGAAATCGGTGATTGACGTATTTGTTTACAAATGCAATTACGCCCAAATCTCAAATCACTCCGGAAATATCCGAGGAAAATACATTACAAATCGATATCAAACTCATTTTGACAGATCTACTTTTATACATTTTTTAGGTTAGTCTGAGGAAAATAATAAACAACTTTACACGGCGTTGCTCCCGCTAATGTGCGTGCGTTAAATGTCACTAATCTCTATAGTGAAAAAAAAAAAACGAATTTCAGCAATGGACCATATGTCAAACGGGGTATCATCCTCCCAATTGCCCGTTTGAAATGTAACCATAATGTTGCTACATATACAAACTCTCAATCTTTCCCAGTCTTTTCCCCCACAATAATGGCATAACCCATTTCAGTCCATATTGCCGTACGAAACTGCCCGCAGCACCGTCTGGCATCAGGTGCAATGTCCGTGGGATTTCAACCGACATCAGCGTACCGTCGTCAACTATAGCAACCACTGGACGCTCCTATCGGCCAACGTCCAGCATCGGAACCCGGTGGCGTCGAATATTCGCATCGGCTCACTGGTCCGGAACAAAATTACTCAATTGCTGCTGGATTTGGACTACTGCAGTAGCAGTGGCAGCGACGGTGGCATGCCCCAGGGTTTCCACCAGCCGGTACGGTTCGATTCGCCCGTCCAGGACCCGTTCGAGCAGGAGGAAGAGCTTACCGACCAGTTTGTCGCCCGGTCTGCGGCGGCCAACATGCAAGCCTCGTCGGCAGAAGTGCATCCCGAGGGTTCCAGGTGCAACTGCTGCTGCAACTGTGGACACCGTAGCGATTGTAAAATATCACCCATCACGACGAACAAAGAACAGGCCGTCCAGCAGCTCATAGTCATGGGCCAGGGAACGACACGCGGTAGTTGTCAGGTACAAATTAATGATTCAATTCCCTGTGGCTGCTGTCAGGCGAAAATGTAATCTTTCACCGCGTGACCATACGAAACGAAGCCAATTCTCTCCGTTTGCTGCTCTGATGTGTCTGTGCACGCTTACGCTAACCTAAATGTTCGAAAAGTACTCACCTGCACTACTATTATCACAGAATCATTTTGTAGCGGACCGAAGATGTCCTCGTTTAGGATCGTCTGCAGTTCGTTGTAGCGGTTTATCATGCGAAGAATCTCACTGATGTTGGCCGACCGCTGTGCGCTGTCACCCAGACCTCCAACGTGGGTGCCGTTTTGACCTGCGGAAGCAAGGGAAAGGAAACGGAATACCGGAAAAACAAAGTTTAGAAAAGTTGAACGGAAAGTTTACAGGTAGTTAGGTATGTACATTTGTACAAAGGTCGTCGCCTAGCAAATTGGAGGTCACGGGAAAACGGAAAACTTGGTAATTGGATTTGTTTCGTTCCTTGATGACGATGATTATGATGACGATGATGGAACTGAGTTTTACATAATAAAATAGATTGATCAGCTCGTGGTGCGTGTTTCATTTGGGACAGCTACAGATGAACTTGGAAAGATATGGTCTAGGTAGTTGATTTGAATTTCATTGGGAAGGATAAGTTAATGTCGAGAAGAAAACTTTGGGATGTGTCATGGAAGTTTGGGGGCTTGCTCGCCCCCATCAGCAAAAAAACTGGGGTTGTATAAACCGTTCTATAGCATAATTTTCCTAGTAGAAGGGACTTTCATAGCTAATCTAAAAGCATAAATAGAGGTACCGTCTGATAATTTCAGTGCTTGGTACAGAAAACTGTAATCTGTGTAGGAAAATCCTTTTTATCACCACAGAAACACCCCGTTCCCGTTTTCTTATGCAAAATAATGAATGCGCATTCACAAAACACACGAAATCTTAAAAAACCATATTAAGATTTTTTTTTAATTCAATCAATAGATTAAAGATATACCGAGAATTAAATGGATGGATTTCAAGCTAAAATTTATTTATTTATTTATTTGTAATTCATCTGACATATGTGGTCTTAATGAATATGAGAATACATTTTCAAACCAGCTACAAAATTGACAAACTAGTAATTCTATTTTTAAAACGACCAGAAGTTTCGCCGAACTCAAAGAGATCCTCCACCACCGAAAAAGCTCGAATCATCGACGATATTGGTTTATTATATCCAAACAAAGTACGGTGAAATCTATCCTGTCGTAGTGACCGCTGCCGAAGAGGACGTTGAGCAGCACGGAAGTTCAACATAGAAAGTAGCCGGGGAGAATCGACTTCACCATTTAGCAACTTCGCCACGAATGTCGCCTGTTGTAGTCTTCGCCTTCTTTCAAGGGTGTGCATGCCCAACAGTCTACATCGATCGGGATAGGCAGGGAGGTTCAACGGATCGCGCCAAGGTAGATGACGCAGTGCTAGCCGGATGAATCGTCGCTAGACACGTTCAATCTTTAAGGTCCAGGAAACATCATTTGGAGTCCAAACAATAGAAGTGGTTTTGAGAATTGGCCGTACCAGCGCGCAATACAAGGATTTCAAGCAATGGATCCGTAAAATCCTTTGCAATTTTCGAAATAAAGCCCAACTGTCGATTCGCCTTGGCAATTATCGAAGTGTAGTGAGAATTGAACGTCAGTTTTGGATCCAGCACAACTTCGAGATCAGTAATCACTTCAACTCGTTTGTGAAATGTTGTTGAAAAATGTTCTGATCGCGAAATATTGATTATCAATACCAAAATTTCGCATAAATGTCCAACCCATTTTGTTTGGTGTGTGCTGCTGATTTTCAGTGTTGCCCAATGATTAGGGAACTTTCATAAATAACGTAGTAGTTGAGGGAGGAGAGGGGTTTCAGAAGTTGGGACCGGCCATGTGTTAGGTGAATGTGCAACCAAATTGTACTTGATTATGAGGACAGGGTTTGGGGAGAACGTTTGTTTCATGAAAGCAGTGATAAAATTATAACTTTTTGTTTATCAATTTTTAAAACAGTTTTTTATGAAAAATTGAAAAAAAGTTTATTGCAACAGCTTACGAAAGGTATTTCCTATCGATTGGTGTATTCGGATTTTAATTTCATCTATAAATGACAAAGCTTGTAGCATTCAAAAAATTACACCTTTTCGTGACGGTTGCAATTTTAGATTTTCGATTTACCCCCAGTACCTTCCCGTAAGACGTAGTCTACGTCAAAAATATATTGAAAGAAGGCACAACAATATTAATGCATAATTGATCCACGATATTCTATCATTTCTACGAGGGGGACGACTCTATCTACGATGCAGGAAATATTGTGTTCTGCTGTGGCTAGCTGCGCGTACGCTGAGTAGATATAAAGAAGATTTATCACGATTTTGATGATTTCCTGCAAAAAGATGATGCACAATGCAAGTAGATGCGAGAAATGAAAGAAGATTTTTCGAAGATTTATTCGCTAGTGTGAGATTTTTTGGGCATCTAGAATTGAGATTTAGATGTGTCGCCCCCCTCGCATTTCTACGACGTTTAGATATATATATTTTGAAATATGACTAACTCTGTATGAGTTTGAGCATTTTTAATTAAACGAAATGTTGGTCAATTTATTTTCTAATTCCTGGTCTTAAACTTTTTATTTGCCTGAGATTTTCACATCTATGACACAAATGTCATTCCCATATACTGTGCGTGAAGCCGAAAAATCTTGGTTCTCTGGTTCGATTTTACGTCAACATTTGACAGCTGCTGCAAATATTCGCAAATAAGCTCTGTTCATGCGTGATACGTTGTTAGGGAAGTTTTCCGCGATTGGCGGGAAGGATTTTGTTTAATATTTGTTGTGCCATAGGCGCTGTTTACTGTGTTTAACAGGAATTGTCGTTGCCTAAAAATGAAGTGCATTGTAATTGGATTTGATAACAGCATTACTACACCATTAAAAACTTTTAACGCGATATAATCATGCGGTACACATGAATTTAGCTTAAGAACGTGTTTTCAACACTAACACCATCATCATCGGTGACGGCTTCAGCAAGTACTAGTCTTGCCAGGGATGTGGAGATTTTAAATGTTTTAGATAATCCTCTTGCATTTCAATACTCTTTACAGCATCATTCATTGAGACAGAAGCGACAGTTCTGTACAATCGTCTGGGGGACGATGTGCGGTGTGCAAGGAGAACCATTCACTCTACCAGTGTTCATTCTTCCAACGGTTGTCGATGCTAGAAAAAGATGCAGTGCTGAGGGCGAACTCCCTATGCAGGAACTGCTTTAGATCGGGCCATCTGGCAGAGATTGTCCGTCAAAATACTTCTGTCGTAGTTGCAAGGGTCGTCATCATACATTGGTATGCTTCAAACCGGAGAAGGATGGATCGGCAAAGGTCGCTGCTGTTGCCGGAAACAACAATCCTCTTCCCTAAACGGAATCTGGTGAACCAATCACCATCCGGTACCTAACGGGATCATCCTGGTGGATTCCACCTTTTTCAATCCAAGCTCAGTGGACTTGGTGTTGGACATCGAATCCTTTTTCGATTTCTTCGAATCTGGTCGAAGAATTTCCTGCTAATTACCACATCATCCGGTAAATAAGTAGTCCAGCACCACAACTAAGGCCCGTGTGGTATTCGTGCAAGACGTCGTTCGACGTTTCACTCAACGACGTTCTGCTGGTGGGACCGATTGGAGGACTTACGATCTATCATGCTCCGGAACCACGTCAAGCTAATCCTGCTGGAAGCTGATGTTTGAATTTACCATCCCGGAGCTCGTGTCAGTGATGGTGGTCAGGTCATTCATAAATTGGATGCCTAATCCATTACTGGCAGCACGCTGAAGAGGGGAGTATACGGCGATAAACCGGACGTTTCCAGTTGGTGATTCCACCTCCGCACTAAGGGCCTCGATGATAGAAGTGCGGATATGATTCCTTTCTTGATGGTGATTGCAACACCACCCCCTGGAGTTGATACGATCAAGCCGGATAATGTGGTGATCAGGCAACCAAAAGCTGTCACCGGGTTTGCTATTTGGTCTCTGTTAGGAAGCCCACGTCGATGCTACACACTTAGGTGCTCTGAGACTGACAGCGTCAATTTTGACATAAAATTGAGTCATAACAGACGCGAGATTCAATTCAATCAAACATACTTTCAAGCTAACTTCTGCTTACTCACCAGGTGAGTCGATCGTACTTACTTTCGTCCGATGTATCGAGTTGTCAAAAATTGAGTAAACGAGAAATGTCAAACTGAGTAAAAGCCACTCAGTCAGCTAAATCCTGGACTTGGAAAAAATGCCAGTCATTTCGGAGGTAACCTCATAGAAAATGTTACTTAAAACCGGCTGAAATGCCTTGAGGTAAGTACGAATTGCTTAGGGAAACGGTGTTGAACCATTTTCTGCTCCGGTAGAATGAATCCGGAGCAGGCAATTTCCATTTCCTTGAATAAAAATCAAAACAAAAACCCTCCCCGCAACTGAAAATACCGGCGAGTGGATTTGACTCAGTCTACGTGAGAACGTCGTTTACTCAAAAGTGAGTCAACATAAGGCTACTCAATTTTGAGTAGCCCTACTTGCCACTGAGATGAGTACATTCGACTCAATTTTGAGTTGACCAGAATAAGCGTGTTTCGTCGAGTAACGAACTTTTCAGTCTCGGAACACTTAATATTACATGACATGTTTGTTTACGTCTCTTCTTTTACGTCAAAGATGGATTCTGTCACGTGTAAAATTACTTATTTCTAAGTGTGTATACTTGCGGAGGAAGTCAGCAAGCTCTAGCCTTTTTGCTTTTACAGAGCAAGCGTTCCATGTGACGACATGGTTTAGACGCCATACTGAATAATAAACTCACCGAGCACTTGGATCTGTTCGGGCTTGCTGCGGCACAGACGAAGAGCGCTGGTCATGTCGACGAAAATCTTCATCAGCTCATCCGCAGAGTAGAGATCGTGATTGATGTTTTGTGCTGATGGTTGTCTCCAGAATCCAGGGGGGATGGGGAGCATTGTCAGGGGCCTCATAACCTAGTCAGTAAAGGCAAGGTATTACCAAGCCGGAGGCGGCGGGTTCGATTCCCGGTCCGGTCGAGGGAATCTTTCGGGTTGGAAATTTTCTCGACTTCCCTGGGCATAGAGTATCATTGTGCTTGCCACACAATATACAAATTCATGTATTGGTATTGGCATCGAAAGCTCTCAATTAATAACTGTGGAAGTGCATTTAGAACACTAAGTTGAGAGCACGCAATAAGCTAATATGCGCTAAGCAATAAGC